ACGGGGACACAGACAGCAATAAAAACCTGACAGGTGTTCTAATCTCCTCAGGTTTGCTGTAACATATAATGCTTCGTCAAAATCTGCTTCCACAAGCACCTACCAAAATTGGGATCAGCAGCTTTGATTCTGGATAGAGATCCTTCGATTCCTCCGATAGTGGCATCATTTGTCCAGGTGACGTACTGGAAGAAGAAAAGATGTTAGCTCAAAGATAATGTTCCCGCTTCCAGGATTAAATATCTTAACAAAAGAGTGGTCCATTTAGGCACATTAGGGCCCATAAGAATGCAAGACGTGGAACCAGGAGCTCCAGTACTCCTCTGCCCTTTGGGTCCTCTATGATGGTAATACAATGATCATCATACTGCCATTTACAAACTCAAAACATCGGCTTCTTATTCAAGGGAACTGCAAGGTGCTTGTGGCACTAAAGACTCCGAATGTCCAGGGATATAAAGCCCAGTTTTATGTTAAAATAAAAAGTATGCAAAACCATTCAATGGCGCACAATAGGCACAAGACTGAACTCCAGGCAAACAGCTTAATACACAGATAACATAAGTATAAGGGAGCTGGTTTACCTGGCAAAGGATTTCTATTCCAGTCCTGAGCCTAATCTTTCGCTAATGCAGTTTCATTTTTCCTTACAGGTCTCCTCCCCACTGATGAGCTCACCTCTGTCACTCCGCTCTCTCTTCCTATCAGCATGCTACTCACAATGAAACACACCTGATTGTATCCATGAGTGGCTCCCCCCACCCCCTTTGATTTTTTTTCTTGACAGGAACTGCAAGAGACCAACTCAAATTCATGTACCTACATAGCTCACATTTAGAGGAAAATACATTTATTATTGCATTAAATACAGAGCTGCAATAATGTGTTAAGGTCGCCATGCATTCTACGATTTTCATTCGAAATGTTGCGTTTCTGGCATGAACCTGCGTTCCTTTATAGCTAGAATACCCCATCAAGCATAGACAAATGTCGATTTCGGAAATCGTTCGTCAGCCATACCAACCAGCCAATTTTGGACGAACGACGGAAATAATTTCCTTTTGCGCACGTGCTGTGTTCTCACTGAGATTTTTGTTTTTTAATCAGATATTATTTATTTGTTGTTTTTTTTCCCTTCAATACATTGTGAACATATACAATAAAACCACAGCACAAAGCAACTAACAGAACAAAAACAAGAAAAGGACAAAAAAATATAAAAACAAACAATCTAAGGACAACAACAGTACAATCCCTATCTGCAGTCCCTACTTTTCTATCGATCTTTATTCTATTTACTATTGCGCATTTCTTCCCCCCCCTCCCCCCTCCCATTTT